TCTGTGTGTGTGTCTGTCTGTGAGTCTCTGTGTGTCTGTGAGTCTGTGTGCAGCTGCATGTGGGGGTGTCTCTGCCGGCAGAGGGGGTGTGTGTGTCTGTGTCTGTGTGTCTGTGTGTCTGTGTGTGCCCCTGTGCACACCTGCACCCCAGGGCCGCTGCCACACCCTGCCTGCACACCTGGGGGCCCCTCAAACAGCCCCGACCCCCCTGTTTGCCACTGGCACCCCCCTGTGCCCACCATCACCTGCCACCAGCACTGGGTCATGGACCGGGTCCCCCAAGGGCCAGGACCCCCAGGACCCCCAGCAATGAGGACACAAAGCTCTGAGGTGCTGCTTGCATGGGCTCCCTCCCAGCAGCACATATGGGGTCATGCCTGGTTACCCCCCCAGCTGTCCGTGGGGACTTGGGGTCCCCTTGGGGGGGGGGGGGATCAGGGTACAGTGGGGTGACAGAAGCTCACCTAGCCAGATACTGGGCATTTTGGGGATGCCATGGTTTGCCAGAGGCTAATCTGGCTGGATATGGGGTATTTGGGTGTCACGAGGTGGTCAAAGTCAGACACAGGGGGCTGCAAGGAGCTGGAGGCCAACCTGGATGGGTACAGGGTGCTTGGGTGACAGGGACTGACAACAGCTGACCCAGACAGATATGGGGTGTCAGGGTGCTGTGGGGTGGCCCCACTGGTTGTGGGGGTTTAGGGTGCTGCAGATCAACAGATGGTGACCCCTCAGATAGAGGGTATTGGGACACTGTGGGACACCCAAATCCAACCCCCCTGGCTGTGGGGTGTCAGGGTGCTGTGGGAGTACAGCCAGGCAGTTACAGGGCTCCCACCCCCATCCCAGAGCTCCCTCCACAGCACCAGCTGCCAGCATCCCACTGCGCTCTTGAGTAGTTAATAAGTTGCAGAGGAGATTTTTGGAGCAGGCAGGGAACAGGTAGGAGCAAGTCCGTGTCCAGTAACCACATTCCTGGGCAGAGGGGGGGGCTGGAAATGCTGGCATTACCCCCAGCATGCAAAGACTGAGGGGGGAAACAAGCATCCCACAGCCATGGGGCTGTGGCTGACACGTCTGAGGGGATTGCTCGGGCCTTGGGATATTTTTCCTTTTGCCACTGCTAGCTCAGGTTGTCGGGGTGACGCTGTCGAGGTGGTTACGTGCATTATCTGCTTCCTTCAAGGCCACGAGACTTGTGCAGGATGAGTAAAGATCATTATCAGTCAGTCAGAGTATCCCTGACAGCACTCCCGGCCCTGCACGGTGGGAGCAGGAGGGGGCTGGGCAGGGGTAGAACGTGCTCCCATGGTTCCTGCCAGGCCAGGAGCACCTGTGGGTCCCCTGGAACGGGGACACAAACCTCAGGGCACAGCGAAGGGGTTGCACTTTGCACGGTGATGCAAAAGTGCCCAGTGCTCACCGAACCCCAGTTAAACGTGAGCACTGATAACACGCTCCAGAAATCAGCCAAACCCTGACCCGCCAGTACCTCCAGGGAGGAAAGGTGAGCCCTTGGCATTTCCACGTCCCCAGGAAGGGGGTTGGCAGGTCAGAATGAGTCTGGTGGTTGTGTTTCCCGATACCTATCGCCCGAAACCAAGGGGATGGCCGTGGCAGGTGGCGTTTCTCCTCCTCCCGCCCTTCTCTGGTTACTCGTCGCCATCTCTGCAAACAAAGGGGAGGGTGTGGGACGCAGGTGACGGTGACGGAGGAGCGCAGAGGAGCGTCCAGCAGGCAGCACTGAAACCCCACCCCGGGCCAGCCGTATAAATGCCGCTGCGCACAGGTGAAAGCCGATCCCCACGGGCTGCGAGCGGCGGCGGGTGACGGCGACGGATTCGGTCGGTGGGTTCTTCTTTGCCATCGCTCGGAGCGTGTCACTGAACCGTCCACCATGTCCATGGGGCTGGAGATCGGCGGCGTGGCCCTGTCGGTGCTGGGGTGGTTGTGCAGCATCATCTGTTGCGCGTTGCCCATGTGGAGGGTGACGGCCTTCATCGGCAACAACATCGTGACGGCCCAGATCATCTGGGAAGGGCTGTGGATGAACTGCGTGGTGCAGAGCACGGGGCAGATGCAGTGCAAGGTCTACGACTCCATGCTGGCGCTGCCGCAGGACCTGCAGGCCGCCCGCGCCCTCCTGGTGGTGTCCATCGTCCTGGCCGTCATAGGCTTGATGGTGGCCATCGTGGGCGCCCAGTGCACCCGCTGCGTGGAGGATGAGAGCACCAAGGCCAAGATCACCATCGTCTCCGGCGTCATCTTCCTGCTCTCCGGCGTCATGACCCTCATCCCCGTGTGCTGGTCGGCCAACACCATCATCCGGGATTTCTACAACCCGCTGGTGATCGACGCGCAGAAGCGGGAGCTGGGCACCTCGCTCTACGTGGGCTGGGCGGCCTCCGCGCTCCTGCTGCTGGGGGGGG